CGCCCCAGAGACACCCCCCACCCCCCCGGGGGAGCGGAGGGACACCGATCCCCCCCCACTCGCCCCACCGAGCAGCTCTCCTCCCCCAAAATCGGGGAAGACACCAGGCGGCGGGGCCAAGGGCGCTGCCGGCCCGACGGCCGCAGCTAGCGGGGCGGCTACGGCAGCGTGGGAACCTCGCCTTCCACCCCTCCGAAACATCACTTCTTACCCCCCACACACCGCGAACAGGTAACGAGGTGATGATGCGAAGCCCTAGAGCTCTTAAAAGGGAGGGGATAAACCCAAAATCTGGATGTAGCACGTTTAAATATATACATATATACACACACATACATATGTATGTGTGGGTGTGTATGTCTGTATAACAAATATACAAACCCATAATTTTTAAGATAACCTTGATTCTGGAGTCAGGGGTTTACAATTTTTAAACATCTTGCATTGGCAGTATCCTCGTTCCTTTTAAAAAGGTGTCAACTATATCCTTTGAAAAGTAGCTGATGCAGATGCATTGAAGGATAGAAATGTGCGGTTTCTCAGTAATTTGAGGTTCGTTCCCTTTTTTTTGCAGTGAGAGCACTAGCTACAGCCTTAGCCTGTACTAAAGCCTCCCTTGCTATTCCCATTCCCAACTTTTCTTTTGAGTGATGTATTTTCGATACTTCTACTTATTGGACTTAAATTCTCAAGGCACAGTCTCTGCTTGGAAATTGGTTTGTTTTTCTTTTTGGTTTGAACCGTCAGCTCAGCTGTTTGCAAGCCCAGAGAGAATGGAAAACAAAATTCTTTCTGCATTCAAAGAAAAACAACTCTTGTGACTTGTTTTGGAAATGCCAGCACATCGACATGGCTCTGATGAGAGCGCTAAAGACTGGGGTAGGGATAACCTCATTGAGTTTTGGAGCATTCCTGGGAAAGCTGGGGTTTAATCAGGCCAAGCATGGCCCTTTCTCACAGAAGCGCAGGGTTTCTGGAGCAGTGTGCTGTTTTTCCATCATGGCACGCTGTTCCCAGTCAGTGAGGCCACGCTCATTATCCAGGGAGCTTGCCGAGCCGTGTTCTGCAACGAATTGAAAGGCTGCAGCAGAGAAATAATTTATGGCGAACAGAGAACATGGACATTATTTGGACGAATATAGTCTCAGGCAGAGGGCCAAGACAAGCCCTCATGGCACACATACGTCTTTATCTACTGTTTAAATGCAGCCCTGTCGTGCTTCAGGCACTGAATGCCCGACACTGTCGCTGGCTGCTGCCCCGTGCTCTTGGCAGCCAGGGCTGTCCCCACGCTGCAGGACGGCACAGCCATCCCTCCCTGCCCGTGTCCCATCAACTGTGATGAATGAAATCCTGCAGCAGGAGGGAGGTGGCGGTGGCACAAGAAACCAGCGGTTATGCCCTGGCGATGCTTCGCCCGGTGAGAAGCCACGGTCCCTGCCCATAGCTGGGACAGCCCTGCCGCAACCCCCGCCAGCAGCTGCCCTGGGGGAAGGTGGCATCTGCTCTGTGCGCTTTCATTCTGCATGTGCAGATGGCCTCGCTGGTTTGCAGGGCTGTAAGCACCACAAGAGCAACCCCGGAGGAGCTCTGAACGCCTGCGGGCACTGAAGGCAAGGAGGCAGGTGCTCTGTGATCAGTGCTTAGCAAGACCCCTCGGGCATAAGCCTCCAGGGCTCGCACACTTGTTGCTGCCTGTGCTGTAGGCAGCAACATCGGTCCTGCTCTGTGCTGGCTGCCATATGCCACCGTCCTACAGCAAGCCCTCCCTAGGCTGCCCTCCAGCCCCAAGCACAGGGCAGGAGGAGGAAGGAGATTGCGGAAAGGAGTTGTTTTTGAAAAGATGACATCTTCTCTGGCAGAAGCCATGAGGTAGTGTGTGGGCAGCAGAAGCCCAGGGCAGAGCTCAAGGAAAAGGGGGAAAAAGGTCCGACTTGGGGACCTTGAAAATAGTTAGGATCCCGTTAAAGAGGCTTCTGTTTTATGGTGATCTACCTCAATAAATATTTTTGTCTTGTTTCCCAAGGAAAAATATTCATGCCATTTTGGGGGCAAGGGGCATGCATCCATCAGTCTCTCTAATACCTTTGGCAGAATTCAATTGAATTTAGACACAGAGAGCAGAGATCCCAAGGATATCAACGCTGGGGAACAAAGCAGCAAGACAGAGAGACCATGCCTACACCCTTCCTGGGAAGAGGCTGCAGCTTGAGCCCAAATCCTCTTGGACTTCAGAGGACCTGCACCAGCGCTGCTCCCCGAGACACAGCTTCCTCAGCCCCCTTGCACAGGCAGTGCCTTGCTTTGCCTTTGCTGACTAAAGCAAACAACTGATGTTCCCACTCACCCCGTACCAGCGCTATTTCTCTGCCACGCACGTTCCCGTTTTGCTTCCCCTGCAGCATTTCCCTCTCTCCCGCCCCAGGGCTCCTATGACCTCCTTCACCTTCCTCCCTTCCTCCATCTCCCTTTCCACACACAGATTGAATTCCTGGCATGCTCCTTCTGGCCTGTCACCAAATCCCTCCACATTCCTGTCACAGCCCCAGCACCTTGCAGGACAGAAGCTGCCTTTGGAAGGTGTTTATGCCACATCCAGCCCCATGATCCTGCCAGGGTGGGATAGGGCTCGCAGCTGGCAGAGAGGAGGGTGCTATGAACACACCTGGAAGAATCCAATGACCGCCACCTCCGCACCTCTGACGAAAGCTTCAGCATCTGCGATGTTGCTCAACAGGACAGGCTTCTCCGCAGTGCTGGCTGTGCCTGGAGAGGAGAGGTCAGGGTAGGAGAGAGGGTACACGAGCAGCTCAAAGAGGCTGCCCCAACACGCACACAAGCATCCCACCCCTTACATGCCCACCCACACACCCCTCCTGCAAGCTCAACTCGCTTGCACAGCACGCTCTGGGTAAGGAGACCCAGCATAAGGAGGACTCCCCGCAGCAGACCCATCCCTTTCCCTAAGGAGACCCAGCATAAGGAGGACTCCCCGCAGCAGACCCATCCCTTTCCCTGAACCAGGAGGAAAGCTCACTTACTGTGGGATGCAGAGCTGCCATCTCCAGCACACCCTGCTGGGGAGCCCCCGGTGAGCAGGATGATGAAGAAGCATGGGAAGATGGAAGTGCCCATGGTGCCAGCTTGCCTTCTCCTTGCCACGTCGCCCTGCTCCGGTCCTCTCCTCAGGAACAGACACGTCAGCTGCTGCAGGGGCCCACAGTCACTCCTGGGGCAGTGGGAAGGGAGCAGCTGGCCCAGGGCAAACCCTTCAGCTCCTGAGATAACCGCTTGGCCGGGAGAGCGCTCCTGCCTGCTGTGCAGGTACCAGCCTTGGAGAGCCTCACCAACACTGCCACCAGCAGGTCCTCACCCATAACGCTGGACATCTCAGGTACCCTGCACCTGTGTGACCGGGTGCCCCAACTGGGTATGAACATCACTCCATACAGAAGCAGCCACTGCACTTCTCCAGGTACTGGCTCCCCGAGGGGTTGATGTTCCTTCCCTTGTGCTCGGCCAGTGGAGCAGCCACTGGGATGCACAGGTCTTGCATTGGCTCTGGATATGGGGAACAGCCGCCATGGTAAGCGTTAGACATGGGAAGGCCATGTTATAACTCCCTGGGCTCATTCAGTTGCCACATGGGATGAGAGGTGGGAGCTGACTACCCCTGGAGTCTACTCCCATCACGGGCCAGGCTTTGGGCTTCAAAGAAGGATTCATGAACGCCCAAGGGAAGCAGCTCTGAAATAATTTGCCTATAGTTAGGCTGATGTTTTGAAGAGGAGGGCTATTTCCCTTCTGAAACATGCTCTTAAGCCTTCTTGTCACACATTCTCCACATCCACCTCACTGAAAAACATACTCCAGAGCCATACTCCAGAAAAGAATGCGACACTCATGCAGAAAAGAAGAAAGAAATCGGTTTTATTCTTGGGACACTGAAGTCTTGTTACAGCATCTAGCTGCATTCCCCCTGACTGGTTTTGCCTGCACAAGGATGGATTTTAACAGGGTAGGGCACCAGATACAGACCAGGAGACCATCACGGGAGGTAAGTAACCATTTATAATGAGTCAGAGCACATGGCAAGTGTAACTCAAGATAGGGATTTTCCAGGGACCAGTCCGCCCTGCCAGGTGATCTTGTTTCCTAGAAAAGGCACTTCCGGGACCAGAGTTGGTACAGGAGAGATGGAGGCAGCAGGAGGAAGTACTGGGAGAGAGGGAGGGAGATGCTTCCCAATTTAACCCATTGTGTGTCATGATGGGGCGGTGGTGAGAACGGGCGGGTTATTTTCAGTGTATCAGAAGAAGCAGCAAAGGTCGCCTGCAGGCCTGTGCATCGACCGAGGCTGGGGCAGAGCCCCGGCTCCTCACGGGGAGGGCTGCCAGGGCTGTGGCCAGCAGAGGTGGCAGGAAGGAGCAGCGTGGTGGGCATGGCCCACCTGGAGACTGGTGCAGGAGGCAAGGGGATGGGAAGGGGGAAGGCAAACTGGGTGAACTCATTCTGTCCATTCCTTCTTGATGGACAGGTTCCACTCCCAGGTGAGATGGTCATGCTTGTCATCATCCGTGAAGAAGGACTTGTTGTGATAGGTGCCTCGAGCCAGCATACCCTTAGGAGCCTCCTCAATAGGCGTCAGGAACTCATACTCCTCTGGCCGTGGCCCGTAGCTGCCAACCATGAACGTGGCTTTGTCCACTAGGAGAAAACAATCCACAAGGGATAAGCCCCTCAGGTGGAGAATGATAAAGGAGAGAAGAAGCCACAAGCATGAGCACAGATCACAGACAGAAAGGAAAGAATGGGGAGAGAAAGGGACAGTATGTGTCAGCAAGGGGAACAGAATCAGTGAGAAGAGTGGGTTACTGAAGCACAAGAACAGCTAGAAGGATAAATGGACGGATGGGTAGATGGACAGGCAACTCGGTCTGTACCCTCTCACGCGTATGTACTGCTGAAAAGGAGCAGGTGCACCCAGTGTATGGCTCGAGATGTCTCTTGATCTCCCACTACTTCTCTTTTCTGGTGAGAAGATACCATTTATGTGTGCTGAACAGGACACTGGAGCCTTAGAGGTGGTTGCATGCAAAAATGCACATGGGATGTGTGCATGCCAAATGGAGCTTTCCTCTGCCTTGTCCAAGCAGGGCAGCACTGCACAAAGAGGGGAGGTCATGGGCAAACACAAGGCTCCGCAGACAGTGGGAACCTTTGTAGAGCAGCTCTGAATTTTACCAAATGCGTCTGGAAGAGCTTTCAGGGGGTGAGAAGCTCCACACAGGCTGAGCCACTCTACAGGGGGAAGGCGGGAGGTAAAGAGCTCTGTATGGAGAGGAAATCTGCGGCAAGGACTGTCTAAACAGTGTCTCTGGGGACTTCGCTGCTGCAGACAGTGGTGTAGCATACAGATACCAGAGCTGCCTTGTATTGAGTTCACACAGGAACAGGAAACAGCCTGGGTGATGCAGAGCGCAGGCTAACGCACTCTGCTGAGAAGTCTCACCCCCTGCGTGGTGGCACAGGGCTAAGGGAGGTTCTGTCCCAGCCCAGAGCTGCAGGAACGCTTCTTTGAGCAGAGGGAACACGGTGGCAGGAGCACTGGTGTGCAGGGCACAAAGGCCTCTTACTCACCCTTCACCCCTGTCCGGTAGGTGTGCTGCACGTATTTCAGTCCTGACACAATGTCCCTGTTTACCTGCAAGAAGTGACCAGAAGTAAGTGTCACAAGAAGGGTTTATGGTTATCTGCTGTTTTTCTCTCCTTTAGAGATGTATCCATCTTGGCTCCTTGCACCACTGCTCTCAAGGGCTCAGCACAGAACACACTGTGGCAAGTCTTAACATGACTTCCCCATAGGCACCTGGAGACCTACAGCATCCTCTCTGCATCTCTTTTCCCTGACTTTGAGGCTGCCTGAAGCACATCAGTCAGCTTCCCAGCATGGGCTGATGAGGACAAAGTGAAGCAGGGAGGTCCCAGTTAATAGTTTCCATACTGAAAGCCAGAGATGGGTGACTAGAGTCACCCCTCCAGCACAAACAAGCATGCAAGATTAGCTGAGTGCTCCCAGCCGCTCTGTAAGCTCCGTGGGGAGCTGGCAAGTTTCTCCTCAAGAGACAGAGGGACACAGTTTTGTTCATTATCTTTCCTCAAATCTCCCATGGATAGCTTGGATATATCCCCTGCTGTTCCCCTCCAGCATACACTGCCTCCCTGCAGCACTACTCAAGCTGGAAACAAGATGGGCAGATCCTTTTACATCCCAGGGGAGATTTCACATGGTGCCAGCTCTTACCAGCCTTGGGATCAAGGGAGGGAGTTAGAATAACTTGTCTGGCTCCAGGCATCTTCTGTCAACAGGGCTCAGATACAGATAGAAATATGTCATAGCACAAAGGAGAGCTGGAGGTGTCTCTGGGCACAAAGTCATCTCTGAGACAGCGAGTGAGCCTCAGAGAAGAAGGGAGATCTTTTCTACAGAACCCACAACATTAACACTTTCCCTCCTCTGTGTCAGGAGAACTATTCTCCATTCCTTTTTGCCTTCTGGGCCAAAGCCAGCTTTGTATGCAGTAAATGTTTGGAGATGACCACTTCAGTGCTGGATGCCACACTGCAGCGTGGCCAAGTTTCATTTTCAGCTGGAAACAGAAGAAATGGCTGACACACTGGTTAATGGGAGAGGGGGAGAAATGAGCCCATTTGGATATATTGTGATCCATAAGAATTTAGGTGTCGTCAGCCAACTGCTACAGTATTAAGTCTTTTTTGTGCATACATGAAGCCCAGCAATGCAGACTGAACCAGTACTTCGTGGAAAGCCATTATCTCTTCTCCCAGTCCGTTCCCTCTTTGTGTGAATTAAAAATTTTCTCAGGGCTAAAAAGCCAAGCCAAACGCAGCCAAAACTACCCATCTGGCTTCCAAACCCCCTGTTGTTCACCACTGTGAGTGGACAGAAAGCAACTTCTTCCAAGGGGTGCGTAAGCAGAAGCAATTCCCTGGAAAGACCTGGTCCCTTGTTGGGCAGAACGATGCCTGAAGCAAGGGGAGCTTTACAAGGTCCCACGTTTCACTCTGCCTGTCTCTAGTTATCCCGACAGACTGCCAGTGACCAGCCTTAGCAACTGGTGAGAAGTAACAAGAAGGAAAACAACTCACTCTGAAGTGGATCTTGACTCTGTATTCCACTCCTTCCTTTAATACGAAGGTCTCTTTCTTGAGTGCTTCAAGGTCACCTGTAAGGAGAGGATCAAGCTGTTAGCCAGAGGTGTCACAGCAAGAAGAGACCACATGGGGCCGAGATTGGTGTTGGAGGTAAGCATCCCTTTGACGGATGCCACACCTGCAATATGAGTAGGCGGAGGTCTGTATAAGCCATTGCACTGTAAGAGCACATACACAGAAACCCCTGGGTATACGTTCATGTCTGTGTCCACATCTGTGAAGATAACGCCTAAAGATACACAGGTCTAAGCGCATATACACAAAGATATTTATGCGCAGACTCATCTTTAGGCAACTGCAGGAGCGTGTGCGTGCTTGACCCATGCCCAGCCCTGGTTTGTGCGAGCGGAGCGCATTTCGCAGCTCCTGCCCAGCTCCTTGCCCAGACCCTGCAGGGCTCTGCGTGGTTTTGGTTGAAGAGGAAGCCTCTCGGCTCCTCCGGGCCCAGCTTCCTCTCTCTGAAGAAAAGCCCATATAAGGTGAAGCCTGGTTCTCTCCCCATGTCCCCAGGAGCCGGAACTGCAGTATTGCTCGATTCTGAAGTTTCAAAACAGCCCGTCACCCGAATGCATGCATATCCCTTGTGCTCGTGAGGTCTCATTGAAAGGAAGTAAGAAGAGAAGGCAGGAGAAACCCAGGAGCTCCTAGAGCAGCCTAGATGAAGAAAGAGACCCTCAGCACTTTCCTCTGTTACATCTCCTTTTCTTTTTCATACATGTATACCTTAAAATAAGAAACAAGGCTAAGATGCCCTCAGAGTTCCTCTAAAAGCCACTGTAGCATCCCGAGGACAAACTCCCTGTCAATTTAAAGCATGCCAGAGCCTTTGCTTGTTCTCCTGCATGCCCAAGAACAGAGTCTGTGCCTACCTGTAAGGTCCATAGTGATGGGTCCTGGAG